ATTATTCAGATTACTAATACATTCGCTCACAAAAACTTATATATAATATTACAGGGTGTTAAAATATTATAAAAGGTGTCTCAGTTTAGTTTCGAAGTTATTCGTGGTGGCAATAGTTAATGGGTCACCTCGTATACGATTTAAACTTGTTGTTCGAACGCTTTGAAAGTGGTTAAGATTAGAAGCACTTAAACTATTGCAACTAAGCAGATACTACTATAATCGATTTTCCAGTTGAAAGATAAAATCTTGGTGCTGAGGAATCAACTGTTGAGTCATACGATATCCGGTAGATCGTCATCGAGAAGTCGTACCCAAGTGAGGCCGTCGTCTGGACGCATGTGAGTGCATACACTGCATACCGTGTTATTACAAGCGATCCCAGGCGATCTATGATTCACACTACCGCGCATCGCGATAGATCACTGAGTCGGGATCCTTGTTTTAGATCGTGTCGAAGCGAAAACAGCCGCGCTAAGCTAACTTGCTCCTGCGTCGAAAACGAGAATAATGAAATGGCTAACGGGAAGAACAGTCTCGATAAAATCGAGGTAACGCGTCCCCGTTTCCGTTTCGCTAATTAGTATAAAATATTCTTGAGTACCGGTGAATTGCTGGTGTATAGGAATTGGAAATGGAGAAGGACGAAATGGCTAATCGGATAGCGGAGTTGGAAAAGGAACTGTCTGCGGCTGTGGTAGTCAGCCAGAGGGAGAAAATAGCTGAAAACATTAAGTATATACAGGTCTGGCGACAAATGAAGCAGCTGAACGACAAACTAATAGACGCCGAGCAGGAGAACGACTCGTTGAATGAGCAAATCAACGATCTGAAGAGATTACTCGAGGAAGCGACGAAGTACATTTCAATGTCTTTAATGTTTTCCTCATACCGATCTTCCTATGCTAAATTCAACTTTGTATCACGAATACCCGTTGCACTTCCTTCTCTTTTATTATTTAACGCTAGAACTACCGAATTGTTTCTATATATGCATTCATCCATTATAAATTCGTCACTTTGACTGGTTTGTTAATTTTAATGTTAATGCTTTTATTGTGAATAAATTTTATTTAATTGGAAGAAATTTGAATCGAAGATCGAATTTTAATCATTAATTGTTAATGCGGCAGTTGAAATATCTGCAAATTTGTCTACTTCCATTAAACACGATTTTTTAATTTAGCTATAACAAAACTATTATAAATATGCTGTGATTAGGAACAACGAGGCGATTACGATAGATCTTGTAGCAGAGAGGAAACGGTCTGCCGAGCTGGACGAGGAGATAATGAACGCAAGAGGCTCTGATCTTTCGCTACGAGAGAAGGATGAACAGATAAAAGACCTCGCTAAGGAAGTGAAGATATTACAAGAGCATAATCACGAGTTGATTGAATTGAGTAATAAATACGGGGAGATCGAGCTGGAGAATTTACAACTGAAGAAGAAGCTCATCGAACGACATAACGACGAGGACAATTTGCGAACTATTTTTACCGACGAACAGGCCAACATTGTAGCGTTACAAGTCTCGAACGAGCAACTGCTCGGAAAACTCCAAGAACTGCAAAACAACATAGACAGTTTAACGGTACAATTAACGGTCAGTGCGTAATTTTTTTTTTCTATCTCAGTAATATCAATCCCGTACATGGTAATCTATGCTTTCCCTTATTAGTTTGCTTTTTTCTTACCCTGACATCTTATTACTTCGAGGAACTGATTCACCTCGTTGAGCTTAACGTGATTACTATTACATTTTACAGACCTTCCCGACGCAGACGACGGAGAAACAGAAAATGTCGCGGGAGACGCAGATCACGCTGAAAAGCGAAATAAAACCACTGATGCGGGAACCGTACATAGATAATTCTAGCCAGGTAGAGGATTGCAGCAAGTATTGTCCAGCAGTGGAGATGATGTTGCAGCGAGACATCGCCGACAGAGTCGAGCAGTGTAAGAAATGTTGCGAGGTCACGATGCCGCTGGAAGACGTGATACACTCAGGTCGGAAGTGTGTCAAATTAGTCGACAATTCGGTGCAGACCGATTACGAATCGCATTCAATGGAGAAAAAGGAGCAAGAGATAATGACGACGACGGCGATCATGACTCCGGTGAAGGAGCTGCCGGAGAAACAAGAACCACAGCTCGTGAAGAAATCTATAGAGTATACAACGATGACGGATGAGTCCACCTTGACGCCGGACAAGATGTTGAAGCTTTTGGATCAGGCGCAGATCGCGGCGCACGTAGACGCTCAGAGGATCCCTCAGAAACCCGTGGTGGCCGGCGTCGATTACAGCGAGCTTCTGGACCAGCATGGAAGACACAGGCAAGTTGTCTCCCTTGAAAAACTGCTCTTCGGTGATTTTAATTGCTGACGAATACATTCGTCTTTTTGCGTTATTTCGGAGAATAGTTTGAGGAAGTTACAGATTATCAACGCGCAGTTTGAATTTAAATGTTCTTCCGCGTAATATAGCGTAATTGTATTCATGGAGAGTCATGGAGCTTCCGGATTCTCTGGCAGAGTTCCCACGTTCACTTGTATAAGATTATATTTTAACAAATAAGATTTATATAGTAATTAGTTAAATAATAAAGTGTTGCCTTAATGTTGTGCAATTAATTGTCTTTTCGTACCTTGCCACAATTCCTATCCATCAAAATCTAAAGTAGTACTACTGTATTGCTCGCGCGTAGCTGCTGAGAATCACGAGTCCTACGGAAATCGTCACGATATCTCCTTACGAGTTACAAACGGAAATTGTAATGTGAATACTCCATTACAGTGGCCCAGAGACATTTGTTCAAGCAACTCAAGCAATCCTACATTTCCAACCGAAGCCCCAGCCCCAAGATAACGTTCGAAACGCAGGTGTTCCTCAGACGTTGGACCAAACGGATTCCACCAAACTGTTGTCTCTGTTTTACAATATTCTTCACGAATACAATCAGTCCACGACGTCGCATGAAATCCCTACCCTGTATCGGCCGTCGCCGACAATTAAACAGCAATTTTATGCCAAGGACGTTAATAATAACGTTGGAACGACGAAAGTCGCGTCCAGTTCCGCACGAGTCGGTTGCAGCACGAGAAAATGTTGTTCCGTCCCTTATAATAAATTCCGACACGACAAGTCGAAGAGAAAGACGACGTCAGTGATCAGGAAACAGGATGAAATTCCGGTTCAGAGCGGTATCGGCGATTGTACTTGCACCAGCTTGATGCGATGCCCATCGGACTCAGCCTGCAGGACGCACTGTTGCACTTCTCCGAAGTCGAGCAAATATTATAGTACAAACAACATTGAAATGCAACACGCGGTACCGCAAGTAAGCAGCAAGACGATTGCGAAAAACACTCCAGTCGACAGTACTCTCGTACACAGAATGTACGGCACTTTGAAAATACCTCGTTAACGAAATCATGCGAATATTATCTTTAATCTGTTAAAAATGCATTCGTGTACTTCCTTTTGAAGTCGATTGATGTCTGACCGCAGCGAGTGCGAAAATTCGGCGCAGAACGTAGAGAATGCCCTTACAAACAGCGAGGACGAGACGTTGCACGAGTACGTAAAACGATTGAATAAATGCAAAGAAATTATGCACGGAGCAGGTATTATCTCAGTAAGGATCACGCATCTGATAATACAATTTCACTCAATACTCTTGTGATAAATAACAACAAAATTAAACGCTAAAGATGTAAATGTTTTAAACGAATTGAAGAACGAGATTGTCATGGGAAAATGTTTAGGCAGAAGGTCCGCTGGATCGTATGAAAATTCATAGTCAGCCCGGACTCAAGGAATCGAAGCTGGTCGCACAGCAGATAGAATCGTTCTGCAGCCTAAAGTGCCAGAATGATTGCGCGGATATGACGAGTCCCACGCCCGATTCGTCTCCCCTGGTTATAACCGACGGTCAAGGCCTCGTGGAGGTTCACATAAGGTCCTTGCAGTTGTCGACATGCGTTAGTATCGAAACGTGAAAATATAATAAACTAGCATCCCCCGTCGTGAATTTCAGCTGAAGTTACTACATGAAGGAGTAAAAGTCATAGTAGTGACAAGCCAATTATAGACTGCCTTTTTATGCGAAATGAAAAATTTAGATTAACAAACATCAAAATTTTAGCGACGAACGTCAGAGAAGTCACGTGACTAGCCAATGTTCTGAGAATTTTTCTTGAAACGTCCAGGCGAAGGAGGTCTTGTTCCGAGAGAAGGACTTCAACGACGTGTTGCTGTTCATCAGCTGGGATATCTGGAACCAGGAGACAGCCTACACGCCCACGTTGAAATGTCCAGAATTGAATTTTAATTCGTCGTTCGTCTATCGAATATCAGATCTGTTCTCATTTTTCAACTACGTCCTATCGGACCTCGTCATATTCGAGGTGAACGTATTCCACGAGGATAGAGACAATTACGTAGTAGCCAGAGGAAAGCTCAGCGTCAAGGATATATTGGACTATCCTCAGAACAAATTGCATTACATCGCGCCGGTGAACAGCGTGATACCTTGTTCGATCGGCATGAGCTTCGGCCAATTGTCTCTGTGGGTCAGGCTGAGCTGCGACGTCGAAAAGGTGGTGCAATTCAAAAAGCAACGCGGCATATACTCTGAGATATCCGATGACATCATCATACCTCATCGAGTCTCGACGCAGAAGGTCCTGATTTCACCGACACCCGAGATAGTCGAGAAGATTTCGGATCCGGACGAGCAGGTCGAATATGACAGCTCACCAGAGGAGCTGTCCCCACAGGTCACAGACATGACTGTACACAAGCCATCGTACGAATCAAGTAAACAAAAAAGCGCATGATTAAAAAAGAATTAATTACAAGTAAATATCTCGTATCCGAATAATAAAATGTACAAAAAGAGTGTACAAATAAAAATAAGAAGGCTCCTGTAGCCATTTTTTACATTCCCTTTCAGTTACAGACGGAGAAGAACGATATGATCGTAAAAAGATATGTTCTATTGAACACAACTTGCTTCTTCTCCTTTCTCCAATTGTTTCCTCATTAATGTTATTTGAATAGAAAATTCAATTAGGCTAGAAGCTCTCATCGCTTGTTCCGTGTGATCAGGTGACACCTCGGGTCATAATCGAGTGACTAAAACGCGATCCATGATACAACTGCATAAGGATCCGCTGACAGTGGTCAAGAGGAGCGAAGATGAAATTGAAGAGAAATATTTGAACACAAGGGACGGCAGAGATACGTCAAGTATACCGGATAATAAGAGTATGTACAATACAGTCGCACCCTGGGAGGATACCACTACTACCACAGACGAGAACAACGAATACAATAGGATGAACAAGTAATTTAAAGTCGTCCTATAAAAATGTAGCTGGTCAGATTGAAAGACGCGGTTGTTTTAGCCTCCTGATGTCCAGAGAGAGCAGCGAGGAGAACAACACAATTCAGCCTCTCAAGCCGAGCTTGATAGAATTCAGCGAGAGCATAGCAGATGTAAGGCTGTGTATTCGTTCTATTTCCTATTCTGGTAATCGCAATCGTGAAAAATATGTAGGTAAAAAATGACACGAACGACTCGAGATCGGTCGACTCCTTTTACGAGGTGACTAACGTGATCGCGGATAAGAATTGGCAGAAATACAAGGACCGCAGTCTGCTTACATTTGTTGGCACGTAATAATGTGCTCCTGTCAGTTAAAAATTATATATTTATGTGGGTGAATTTCAGGTGCGCAGGGGAAACCGGAACAACGCGCTGTAGAAAATAATGTAGTACGATTCAAAGTCTCACGAGCGTCTTCCAAAGTGGCTTTTATTTTTGGTTTCCGCATTTTTTTCTAGCATGATCCAGAATTGTTGCGACTAATAAAAAATAATCTGCGCAATTGAATTCAATAGGACAACGGAAAAGCGCGTCTCCGGGCCTTCAAACATTAAAATAATGAACAAATATTTATATAATCAATATTCTTCGATTACCTTCTTAACTGTCGATTATATAAAAAAAGACATGTAGATTTAGACAAGACGCGTATTTTATCGTCGCGTCGATCGTTCCTAGGCTGTGATAGGAATAACTGATTTATAGAAAAATTAGATGTGCAGGAAACATAAAGACTGCACGTAATATGCAGAATTGAGTAGAATATCTAAAGTATATATACTTTATTATATTTACAGTAAAAGAAATTGTCCGATTGAACCCAAATTTTGGATAGATCATTCTTTATTAATTGGAACAATTCCGAGATGTACAAAATTTTCATTAAGACTAAATAAGTGCCATCATAGTGTTTTCTTTCTAATTGAAAATCCTCGGAAGTAAAGTTAATCACGTTTATTGTTGCAGTTCGTGGAGAAGGACACGATTATCATCGAGATCGTTCACATGATTTTGTTCCCGAAGACTTTTATAATGCAAAATCCCGATTTCCACCTGCTTTACATAGAATACTGCTTTTTGGGTTATTGCGGCGCCGACATGGAGACCGTGTCAATCAGAAAGCCGGAGCCGCCGAATCAGAAGATGACGTTCAATTTCAAGAGAAGTAAGTTTACGCGTGAGGCCGGGTGTCTATTTGTGCAACGCGAATGCGCGGGGTGCGTACAGCCAAAACGGCTTAATCGAGGCTCGAGTAAAGATTCGTTTCCCTCTTCGAAGAGTTTCGAGTGGACGACGAGAAGCACTCGTTGCAAAATAATATATTAAGAGCGATGCTGGACGAATCGACTAATCCGCACATAAAGTTCATCGTCGTTTGCGAGCCACTTCCCGAAGATACGGACTCGAAGGAATGCGTGGAAGTAGGGTGAGATCGAAATACAAATTCATTTTATATTATTCAAGTAATGGTTTACTCGAAAATATAATTTTAGATACGCCTATTTTAATATAAGAGAGTACGCGCTAGGGGACAGCGAGAAAACCGTGTCTATTCCGATTTACAACGCAAGCGACGAGTCGAATAAAGTCGGATTGCTGACGGTAGATCAATGATTTATAAACGTTCGCTATTGAATGAATAATATTACGAACGTTTACAGATCACCGTGTTGGGTCTCGAGACGATACGTCAACGCCTAGGCAGACGCGAGTCGGACGTCAATTGAAGTTTCTTCCTCTGTGCATTTATCGTGTTTATACAAACGTGTAGAAATGTGATTACCATGAAGTGAAAAATTAATAAAATATACGATTGAAAAAATTACACGGTACAAAGAGTATCTCATTTATTAAAAGCTACTTACATCATAATACAAAGTATTCTACAATCTCTATTGCATGAGCGATACACTGTTTTACAAATCGTAAGCTACGCCGACATATGTTTCTGTTCTCTTTCTGTCCCTCGTCCACTTGGATTCCAACGTTCCCCTTCACCCCGACTCAGGTCGCTTTTTCCGTGTCATACGTTTCGGGAGATCTCCAGAATTTTTCCTAGCTTTTTCTCTTCTCGTGCTTCGTTGTGTTATCAGTCGAATTCGCGCCTTTCTCCTTCAGACTGGACAATTTCGATTTACGGAAGATATCGTTGAAGACGGTGGTCGCTACTTGAAAGTCTCTGCAACCCTTCGGCTGCCGGGCGATCGACCAAACGCCCGCAATGGTATCGACACCTTGGCATACTTTGCAGGAACCTAAACATCATTCCATTGATTTCAATCTAACAGATACGTGTTTATCATTATACAATTATCGATCTTTTTATTATATAAAGAGAAAGCGTTTGTTTGTATATTAACGAAAATCTGAAAAACCACTGAAAAAAGTCTCATAAAGATCGATATATGGATAACATTTTTCTAACTAAAAATATATGCCTACAAGTTAATTACGTAAAGGGTGTTTCGCGTACCGACAAACACGGCTATGGAACTAGTCGAGTTATCAATGGCAGTCAGGCTGAACGGCGCACCACGTTTGAACGGGACGTGACCGGATATGTTCCAGGTTGCGTTCAGCAAGCTTTCGTGGAGAGGCTGTCCCGTTAGCTCTGAGAGCGTCACGGTTATCGTGCGATTCACAACCTTCATATCCATCTTCACGCCAGCCTGAGCTGTTGACCAGGACCCTGACAAACGGCAAGGTAAGCCTAAAAATATCGCTCGTTTCACACATCAGCCAAGCTTTAGTCCAACTATCGTCGTTAACGATTTATATCATTACAATAACTAATCCAATTTTTGTTCACGTAACAAATTTTACTCATTGACCTTTTTCTCTATCATTTTATACAGGGTGAGTCTCGTTTAATGATAACTTGAGAAATCTCAACAGAAATTGAGACGTCTACTATACCAAGAAACAGTTTGTATCAGAAATTTTTAATCCATACATCAATAAGTTTAATGAACATTTAAAAATTGTTGTATCAAATAAAAATGTTTCTCTGTCAAATGTGACAAGAATCGCCGTACCTTCTCTCTTATTATTTTTCGACTTATCCGCCTTCAGTTCCTCCAGCTCCTCCATTATGGTATCGAGTATTTGATTAGCGACTTCTTTCGTGTCATGAACCGCGATGGAAATATTCATATTGTGCGTAGGACGTCTCTCCTCTTCCAGTTGCTTCAGAATATCGTCACCGTATTCCCCATTCTGCGAGTGCCTCCTCAGATAGCCCTCCCTAATATTGTTACGATTCCTCAGTCTGTTTGCCTCGAATTCAGATCCCCTCGCGTTATTACCCTCGTAATAATTGCTAATCTCTTTCTGCGGCTTCTTCTTCAAATAATTGGGACTTATCAAGTGTTCCAACGCGTAAGGCGTGATCTGATGATTCACGCCTTCACTCAAACTCGGATTTTGGTTGAAACTATTCGAACCGCCGCCGTTCACATTAATCCCAAGCGACTCTAAGATTTTACCGAGAGGTTCATCCATAGCGTTAGGCATGTTAATCGATGGATAATTGTACTTCGATTGTATCAGATAATTTCTCAACGCTTCATCCGCTTCGTCATGATTCCCGTACAATTGGAGCGGCGTGTAACTCGGCTGCGTGCGGAATTCCGCGTCCTCTTCTTTCAAACTCGGAACTCTCACGTTCTCCAACGACGGTTGATTCGCGATATTCTGTTGAAAATCGTCAGCCGGTGGTAGAATCGCTTCCGGTTGGTAGTTGAAAGTTTGCAATTGAGGAGGTTGCGGTTCGACAGCTTCGTTTATATCCGTGTCCACAGGCTCGCTCGGGCTCAAGCTTTGCAAATGTTCCGGTATCTCGTATTGATTTAAATAATTCAAACGATCGGGAATCTCCTGTTCAGACGGCTGTTGGACTTCATTCGGGTCGTAAATTTTCGTGTTGATCGGCTCGAAATCGTCGTTATACCGTGACTCGGGAACGTCGTTGTCCCCGGGCACTTGCCCCGAAGCCGCCGCGTTCACCGGATACGAGGCGTCGTAATTTTCGTTCCGATAATCATCCGGCGACCCGTAATTAGTCTGGTAACCGAGCGTCGGATCGTCAGCCCCAAGTACTCGCGGATCTCGTCTTAACAAACGCTCAATTCTCGGATGATTCTGAAAATCATTAAGAGTATTGACAGTGTCACCCTTGTACCTGACCTCTCTTTTACGCGAGTCCGCGTGACAAGGATGAACGTTTCTATTGATCCGTAAGGGCGCGCGGTCGCGGCTTGCGTCGGACGTGAAATTAATCGCCTGCCGCGCGATTCGATCGTTCGACGGTCCGGACGAGTCTCTCAGTTGCACCGGTATCTTATTCGCGGCGATGTCCTGGAGCACCTCGTCGTCGCTATAATAGTCCGAGTACTCGACCCCCTGGTCGCCCGGACTCTTTTTCGACGGGTCCTTCGTGGTCGTTCTCATCAGACGCTCGACCATGCTCTCGGGTCCATTCTTTTGCGACTCGGTGATCAACACCGAGCGCTCGGTGTTCAGAGGGCTCGAGGAATCGACGTAATCGGCGTCGTCTACGTCGACCGCGACGGCAAATTTCTTTTTCGATTTTTCACCGCGTGCACTGTCATCGAGAACAGCTTGCTTACGATTAATTAGAGAACTCCCTGTTCCGTCTGAATTCACGTTAATTTCCCGTTTGTCGTCCGACGTTCTCTGAGTAAAGGGAAGGCAGTTTATCCAATGCGTAGTAACGTTCACCGCGTACCCAGGGATCCTAACCGTATCCCTAACCGGATTTCGTTCTTATTTCTGCTAACCGCGTAAAAGCTACGGTTCGGGATAGGTAACGATTAGGATCTCTACAGGTACGGACGCCATGGAAGCTACGAGTAAATTGATGAACGAAGCTTACCTACCTTAGAGGATCCCCTCTTTAACGAGCCGGCGTGTTGCGTTCTGAATTTTCGGTGGTGCCTGGAAGATGGTAAGATTTCGTTTAACCCTTTCGCATCTATGGTCGAGATATCTCGTTTTTATCTTCCAAATCGAAGAATTGTATTGGAAAATGCCAAGAAAGGGAATTTCGAGATGTCTCATCCGCGGATACGGAAGGTATTGGAATTTCATTTGTAGCAACTCGAGCCGTTACCTTTTTCTCTTCTTCTTCCTCCGTCCCTTGTGCCTCGCGTCCTTGCTGCGCCTCCCATCCTCGGTGATCTTCGGGCCGATCTTCACTCCAGGCACTTTCACCGACGCGTGCAGGATCCCCTTTGGCGATTTCACGTGCGACAGTCTTCTCATCGTCTCCTGCATCTTCGGCGATTTGAGCGCGTCCTTGGCCATCTTGTGCGCCAACCCTCTATTACCACCCTCGGACCTCGCGAATCTGTTCTCCGCCGAACCGACGCTATTTCGACCCGATCTCATCTCTCGTTCATTATCCACCTTGCGTACCTCCTCCTCGAACTCCGAATCATTATCTTCGGAAATGGAATCCTGGTTCGAAAGGGCAGCACTTTGCGTCAAACGCGATTCATCCACTGATTTGCTTTCCTTCGACGGAACGAACGATAATTTTTCGCGGTTGGCTTCGACTTGGTAAACTGCGCTGATTAGTAGCGGAACGATCATGGTCAACCTGTTGGTTCATCGAATCCGTCACTCTTTTTCATACAGGAAGTGAAATAACAGGATTGTTTTCTTTGTTTACAACTAAAATCGTTTAGATATCGGCATACCTGAATAAAGTTAGCAGCATTCCTCCGCAAGGTGTATCGATCGACAGATTAGTGCTGGTGCCATTGAATCGGCGTGTAACTTGTTAACGATGGTTTCAAGCTCGTACTGCACTGTGCGGGTGCATGTTAATTCCACGATTGGCACTACTACTCGCGATTGCTCGTTATACGTAATGCCGTACGGAAAACACGCAAACGGAATCAGGCCTTCTCAAGCGCGATTCCTACGACACGTTGTTGACATATCCCTGAGAAAGGTTCGCAGAAAGCGACGATCGACGCTCGCTTCGCGTCGATCAACTTTTGTCACGCTTCATTTCAAGTTACTGTACTTCAAGTCGCTCAACACTTTAATTGCCACCCAAACATGGGTGACACTAAAAGTTACCGATGGGCCGTGTCACCCGTAAAAAATTGACCTTTTCATGAAACTATAAAGAAATAGGCAAGTTTGAGACGCCTAGTCCTCATAATCAATGAAACGAAATAACTGCTCGCGGTTAAAAACTCTCAATTAATAGAAGAAGAATGGTTTCTGACTGAGTTATACGCTTCGAAAGTTCCGCCGTTTAAGCGAAAGCGAGCGTTGGACGGTGGCCAAGTACACGCGTCGTCTTCAATTAGTCAGATATTACGTATAAATGTCCTACACACGGTTTATCCCTGCATTAATAATACGAAAATGAACATACAGCCATCGGTACAGTGTCATCTTTCAAGAATTTTTCACCAATGCAACTTGGGACGTGCTTCTTGGAACACGTAATTGCGTAGATCATGTCAATAATAAAACGCCATGTTGTATACGTTACGATTTCTTTTAATTGACAGCTCAAAGGTAGCCAACGCACGTGGCTAATCCCACAACTCCATTACTCTTGATGAAATAGCCTGGAACGTCATTGCATTTGCGGAAGGAGATAGACTTTATGGAGGTGGCTAGAGAAACTGGGATTACAGTTATACCTTGGATCATAAAACATTTGTTCGCAATAAAGTGGTCGTAGAGTCAACTTTGCTCCAATCGGAGTGCTTGTTCGAATATTCAGTTTATTTGAGGAGCTAATCACGTGAATTTTCTAATATTTCTCGGTAAATGTTTAAAGATTTTTGATCGATGATTTAAGATCGATAATTGTAAAATGATAAATATATACCTGTTAGAATGAAGGCGATGGAATAATAGACTTACTTTATAAATAGTAAGATTATTATTATTTCCACAATTCTTTATTTAGTTCTTGTTATGCGTGAGGAGTTCGTAATTTTTAGAAGGGACGATCATATTTCATCGATCACAACTGCACATCGACAATACACGTGTGTGATGGTGCGTTCGCATTAAAATCAAGTTGGAACGCAAATAGACTCCCAACTGTCTGTCTGTCGAAGACGAGTACCATCGGCGCCGGGCGAAAGCCGAATAACAAAACGGAACAAAATGTAGAGTAGAGTAGCTTATACAGCATAAATTGTGTGCCACAAAACTTGCAACATAATACAGGTCGGTTGAACTAGCAGTTAGCGAAAGTGCATAGCGTGGCATCGATTATTAATAGAATCAGCTGAAAGGAAATCTTGGATCCCGAAGGGAAGTCTTCATACAGATAAAAGGTATCTGATTTTGTGAGAACGAGCAGAGGCACGTGTCGCGATTCAATTACTTGTGAAATCGACGCTACGTATTTTTAAATCGATCGATGCCCGTAAATTGCGTAATCGAACATCTCTGATCGTTTAATTGAACCTTGGTGCGCGTACAGCCCGCTTCCGGTGAACGCGAGTAGCAAATTAATTCGTAGCTGCAAAAGCGAACTAGGGATGATTATCGAAGAAGAAATTCGCTTTTAATAGCCGTTACAATCACTCGTTTGTCGATAATTCACAATTGTGTAATCAATCGTTAATTACCGGAAGAGGTCTTGGCTCGGAGTCAGAGTCACGAGAGTGGCGATAAAATATGTAT